TGCTTCTCCCTCTGACCCTCCCCCCTCTCATGTGCTCTCTCTCTCTCTCTCATTCTCTCTGTCTCAAATAAATAAATAAAATCTTTAAAAAGATAAAAAATAAAAAATAAATGAAAGCAGAGGGGCACCTGGGTGGCTCAGTCGTTAAGCGTCTGCCTTTGGTTCAGGTCATGATCCCAGTGTCCTGGGATCGAGCCCCACATCGGGCTCCCTGCTCAGCAGGAAGCCCACTTCTCCCTCTCCCACTCCCCCTGCTTGTGTTCCTACTCTCGCTGTCTCTCTGTCAAATAAATAAATAAAATCTTTAAAAAAAAACAATAAATAAATGAAAGCACAGAGACAGAGCTTTCAGTCTTCATGTTTCATCACTTGCTCACAAGTTCTAATAAGCTAGCTTTCTGGTATTTCTGTATTTGCAAAAAGCATATAGGTCTCCTATGAGCACATAGGTAGTTTGCTGTTAAACATTTCCAAATGAGGGGCGCCTGGGTGGCTCAGTTGGTTAAGCGACTGCCTTCGGCTCAGGTCATGATCCTGGAGTCCCGGGATCGAGTCCCGCATCGGGCTTCCTGCTCAGCAGGGAGTCTGCTTCTCCCTCTGACCCTCTTCCCTCTTGTGCTCTCTATCTCTCATTCTCTCTCTGTCAAATAAATAAATAAAATCTTTAAAAAAAAAACACACACACAAAAAAACATTTCCAAATGAGAATGAAGCATCATCATCCCCTCATGCTAATTCTCATACACAGCACAGCCTTTCTTCTTTGTGAATGGCACCTGCCTCTTCCTCAATGTGAAAGGTCCCAGGATTCATAATTGCTTTTATTTGGGGTATGGAAGTTTTACAGTTCTTATGTATACACGCGTTTAATAAGAATTGTGTATGATGTACTAAAGATGTGTTCCTGTGTGTTTATTCATTATTTTCTCCTTTTTCCATTTTTCAGTACATGTACTAGCCTTAGCAAGTTCTGTTCCAAACTCAGGCACCTTGACTTGGCTTCCTGTACATCAATAACAAACATGTCTCTTAAAGCTCTGAGGTAAATGTCTTATAACAAGAGTATCCAATAATCAGAACAAATACTGATTTTTTTTTATTTCAAATGACTGAAATAAAGTTGGAATTGAAGGAAACTGTGTTTTATGGATATGTACTAAAGTTCAGAATAGATCTTTTGTTTTATCACTTGCCCAAATTACAGAACACGTTCAGATGAAATGACTAGAGGTAACTAGGATTTCTGAACAGACTGGTATAGCATATACACGAACGATTAGATTTCTATGAAGGCTTGGTTGCCCCCACGCCCCAGAATGCCACATATAGCTTAGTGATCAAAACAGCACTCTGGAATCAGGTGATTAACCAGGTACCTTGAACAAATATAACCCTGTGAGCTTTTCCTTATCATCTCATAGTCCTGTTGTTAGGGGTTAAACAGTATTATAATTGTTTGATAATATTAGGCCAAACCATACAAAGTTGCCAGTATTTGACAACTTTTGGCTTCATGTGGTTCAACCTAATACATATAAAGTGCTTAGGAGAGTAAGTTTTGTTTTAATATTAATGTATTTTTTTAAAGTACGTTACAGAAGGTGTACCTTAAATGGAGGGTGAAATGCCCATTCTCTTTGTAGCTTCACTTTTTTATCAGTCTTTTACAGGTATTTATGGTCCCATGTATTGGTTATGCTCGTAAATAGTAAAAATTAAGCTATTAAGAGAAGAAATATAGATTTAGTTGAGTATAAGTAATCTAAAAAGGGCTTCTAGTCCTTCCTTATGAATACTGAGTACATATGTTTCTAAGGCCATTTGCCATGTGGGATAATAAATAGGATAATACAACAGCATTTATGGTTTATAAAATATTTTCACATAAATGATTTCATTTATTTGAAAACCGTGTGAGGCAGATAGGACAGACACTAATAGAGAAGAAAATTAAAACATTTTTGAATGCCAGGTACTGTGATTTAACCTCACTGAATAAGGTATTGTTGCTGCCCTTTAGCTGCTCAGAGTGTAGTGGGAGAAAAAAATAATAATAAACATGTTGTCATACTACAGTGTTATAAGAAGTGAGTGCTTCCATTTGGGGAGAACACAGGCTATGGCTGATCTTAGATTAAGAGAAGTTCAGGCAGGTTTCCTAAAGTGACTTGTCTGAAGTCACACTATTAATGTTGAAGAATGGACTTGAACCAGGGTCCCCTGCTTTCATTTTATAAAACAATTAAAGCAGTATTTTCCAAAGAATGTCATAGAGCTTGGGATTCCTGCATAGTTCAAATGTGAAATCAAAGATGATACTGATGTTTGATAGAAGGCAGGGATCAAACACAGTATAGCCTAAATTTAGCCTATGGAGACTGTGCTCTAGAGATTTCACAGATAAGGAAAATTTATAGATCCTTTGTAACTTTCTAAATAAGAATTTAAACGTCTTCATTATTACTTTGATAAGTAATAGAATTACTTGATAAAGAATCTGAATCTAAACTCTTCACTAATTACTCTGTTAACTTGAACACTTAGTTCCCATTTCCTTTCCCGAGACCATTTAAACATGTGATAAGTGCATAAAGAATATATTTGAAAAGGATAAACCTCCATAGCAGTCTAATATATCTGAAAAACAATATTGTGCTTTGTGTCGAACCATGAGAGACTATGGACTCTTGAGAAACAAACTGAGGTTCTAGAAGGGAGGGGGTGGGGGGATGGGTTAGCCTGGTGATAGGTATTAAAGAGGGCACGTTCTGCGTGGAGCACTGGGTGTTATGCACAAACAATGAATCATGGAACACTACATCAAAAACTAATGATGTATGGTGATTAACATAACAATAAAAAAATTTTGTGCTTTGTGCTTGTTAGTTTAGCTGGATTTGAGATAGCCCTCCTGTGATACAGTCCCACCTGAACTCAACCAACATTAATAAATATGCTTTGTTGTTGTGAGATTGCCTGTATTCTAAATCTGTGTTAAGTAAATGAGTATATCCTTGTGGGAAAGCATGGGGCTATAGCCATTCCCTGAATAAATAGCCAGTAAAGTGAGACTTTGGTGCCTTTGGAAATGGATTCAGTCATGTATTTGTTTCATTTTGTTTTGTCCTAAGTGAGGGATGTCCACTGTTGGAGCAATTAAACATTTCCTGGTGTGACCAAGTAACCAAGGATGGCATCCAAGCACTAGTGAGAGGCTGTGGGGGTCTCAAGGCCTTATTCTTAAAAGGCTGCACACAGGTAATACTCCATGTAGTCTTGTGAATTTTAGAACTGTGAACTTTGAAGGCAGCCCAAAGATGTTGGCTGGAGGAATATGTAGTTGTATATTAATGACCAAAGATACATGCTTACCAAAAATTAAAGTGTCTTTCTTAGAGTAAAAAAATTATGAAAAGAATTAACATCTGACCAAAGATAAAATTTTTGAGGGGAGGCAAGATGGGGAGACAAAATCACACTGAACATGCACCATAGGCAGGAAGCATCTTACGCAATTTAATCTGAGAAGAAAACTTGCCATGTTGTCACTGCCTGAGACCTTGAACTGGAGACACAAGGAAAGCATTCTTAGCAATTTTCACTAGTTGTTTAACTACCAGGTTAAATGTGCCAAGTATACAGAACGTACATTTTATAGTGTTGGTGTTTACTTCCTGCCAGTCACATTACAAATCCCAACAAAGATTTAATTTTAATCCCATTAAAGATTTTACTATCTTCGTATTTTACTGTTACTTAAAAAAGGAATTGACATGGCAGCATCTGGAAGGAAATAAAAGTGAGTTTAGAAGTGACTGACAAAGTAGGGCTAAGCTCTTGTGACATTATTTTATTAATGGTTACTGGAACCATGCCTTGGATTTTGTTAAAAGTGCCCTTATTCCATTATTACTGTGTTATGATTGTTTAAAAAAAAAAATTCCTGTAAGGTACACACTACATACTAAGGTCGGCCATCATTCCTGTTAAAAAAAGTTTTTTTACCAAGCTTAAGATGAAGCTTTGTTTTTGAAAGTTAGAAGACGGTAGTTGTACATTATTTCATTTAGAAAATATAAAAATTCATTTTGTTCTGAAGCTAGATGTTAAACTGGAATAGCTCTTATACCCCAGAGAATGGGACAGTTGTGCCCTTCCCTTGACATTCCTCTGTTGTTTAATTCTTTAGGGTCTTAATAATTGTTTTTTTTAATCCTGAGAGATTAAACAGTAGACTTGTTAAGAAAACAAAAACTGTAACCAAAATTTTAAAATAAAGTTTAAAAAAAAAAGTGCCCTTATTCCTTCACCATGATGGGAGGAGTTCCATTGTTTGAAACAGAGCTTTGAAAGTAAGACTGCCTTAAAACAACAGCTTGAGCTTCTGGTTATTTATGGAATCCTGAAAAATATTGATTGGAATGCACCATTATAATCAATTACTTGCCATCTGTTCTCAGCACTGTACGTATGGCACTGATCTTCCAGCAGCAGATAAACCGGATTCCTTTCTCAGCTTCTGCTCCCCAAAGTTTGTTTTTAAAAAAAACTTTTTATATAGGAAGTATAGAAGTGTGAAAATTATTTTAGCTTCATAATCCCTGAGCAAAATGCTGTGAGGCATACTTAATTTTTATCAGAAGAAACATCCATAAACATTAGGCAGTGTTTATTTTATCTTTTCCTTGATTTGATGATCATGTGAATTTGATGTGGTTGAAACTGATGAAAAATACTGATAACCATACTAATGACATGAATTACCCCTTTATGTGACCAAGGGTCATTGTTTCTGGTTCACTGTTCTTTGAAACCTGGTTGGCTATATTTAGAATATATTGATGAATGTGTATACTCCTAAATCTTTATCCCTTGAAACAATGTTAGTAATCATTTTTTTCTGTCTTTTTTAATTTTTCTAGCTAGAAGATGAAGCTCTCAAGTACATAGGTGCACACTGTCCTGAACTGGTGACTTTGAACTTGCAGACTTGCTTAGTAAGCAGTCCTTCCCACAACTCTTTTGTATTTGTAATTCAGTGCAGTGATATTGTACAAGCTTCAGTCATCAAGACCGGTGGTTTTTTCCACTTCAGCCCTGTGGGGTGACACAGGGGACACAGGGGACACACAGATGATCGTTCGTATGCTTAACGATATTCACTCCTAAGGTCTTTGACATAAGTCATCTAGAAGATAGCTCATGCAGAATTCCAAATAAGCTATAACTCCACCCCTTTTCTTTTCTGCTTTTTAGAAGTGAATTATTCACAGACTTTAAGACTTAGAATATTTTTGATTAATTAATTGCAGTCATGCCAATGAAGATCTATCAGTGAGTCATAACTATTGGGAACCACTGATCTAAACAGATGACAAGCAAAATGTACTCTCTAAATTATTTCCAAGTAGTAGCTGTAGTTCACATTGGGCTTGTTTAGACTGTCAGCTTTTTTGTGTCTATCCCCAAACCCCTGCATTTTGCTCAGAGAATTTGCTGAAACTATTCAGGGTCCTAGAACATTAACAATACACTTTTAGCTTTTCTCTCTTGCCTTGAAAATTACAATTATGTGTTGCCTTGCAGCGAGAGCCTCTCGTGGCAGTGAAAAAGAGTTGATGAAGGTTTGCCTTGTTTTTGCTAAAACTTCTGCTTATTATCCCCTCCCTTTCTTGTATGATCTCCTGAAACTTGAGACCATAGCGGTTGTTTAAAGGTGACACATAGGGGGTGGGGGTATGGGTTGGCCTGGTGATGGGTATTAAAGAGGGCACGTACTGAATGGAGCACTGGGTGTTCTACGCAAACAATGAATGAATCATGGAACACTACATCAAAAACTAATGATGTAATGTATGGTGATTAACATAACATAATAAAAAAAGAAACATTAAAAAAAGAGTGACACATAAAGGGCCATATTTTGTGCAATTGAAGCAACGTCCTCTTCAGCCCTTAAGGGATGGTGCTGATAATGATCTACTTGGGAGGCTCCTGAAGACTGAGTTAAAGGAATGACATTCCTTTTAAGTCTGATCACTGCTTCCTTTTAATTCTGATTACCATAGTTGCTAACTCTCAGAATTTGCCTACTTTCATTTATGAAACCGAAATATTTGGAATATTTGGCCTGACAGGAAGAGCTTACACAACTGCTATAAACATGAAATCATCATCTTGCAGTGATAGGAAAAAACTGTTCTCAGGGATGTTTGGATCTTACGTCTATGTATCGACATGCAGATACACTCTCTATGTATTTGTGTGGATGTATGTTACATACACATGTATGCCGTACCTACCGTTTGCTGTTTTAGTTTCATTTCCTTGACCCTTCCAGCAGACAGAAATCACAGTCGGTAAGCACAAAGAACCAGTTCTATCATCTGTTTATTTTACTCTTTCCCTTCACCCAGATCTTAGGATATAAGGCATTCCTTCTGTAGAATGTGATGCAATGATTCTCATTCCTAAGACTTCACGTTTCTTCCCCAAAACTGTTGACGTGACCAAAGTACATTCTCAGTCCATCCTCTTTCTTCTTCAGTGATCCCTTATGGACTTGAAAACACTAAGAAGGAACAGGCGGCACGGCTCTACAATACTTTCCTAATATGTGACACAAATTCTCATTGGCCTGATAAAGCAATTTAATTGAATCTACCCCATGATGCACCTCATGCTGTCCCCAGCCCCATTATGTTAAAAGAATCCCATTATAGCTTCTTCCCTTTACACCAGAAATGAGCACAGGGATGCTTGGCTGACTCAGTCATGTGACTCTGATCTCAGGGTTGTGAGTTCAAGCCCCATGTTGGGCGTGGAGCCTACTTAAAAAAAGAAAAGAAATGAGCGCAGATTCTCTCACAAGTAAATCAAAAGGAACTGAAAAGGAGAAACAGTGTGTTCATTTTCTTTTAGGTCTGCTACGTGATTGATATTAAATCAGTTTTATTTCTTTTTGGTGCTTATTTTCCCAGGTAACATTTTTTCCTTCTTTTTCTTCTGCTGCATTACTAATATCTGTGGGGGGTTTTTGCTCTTATTTTTTAGCAAATCACAGATGAAGGTCTCATTACTATATGCAGAGGGTGCCATAAGTTACAGTCCCTCTGTGCCTCCGGCTGCGCCAACATCACAGATGCCATCCTGAATGCTCTAGGTCAGAACTGCCCACGGCTTAGGTAAACATTTCTTGTTTAGCTCAAAAAACCAGGGGAAAGGAACAAAGGCCTTCTTCACCCTAATTTATTCCTTGGAACTTTGAGATTTTTAAGGGAGATACTACAAGGCTACTACCCTTTTAGATGCTAACCTATTTGCTTTGTACCTCATTTGATTACATGTAATTGGTTTAAACCAAGGGGTGATAGTCCCTGTTTCCTACTTCTTGCTCTCCATACTAGAAAAAAAAAATTTAAACATTTTATTTCATTACTTGAGAAATGAAATAAAGGCATTTTCTCTTATTAATACTTCCATATAATTCCTTTCTGAAGAAAGTTTTTAAAGGCCTACCCTGTGGTTATTTACCTTGCGGTAAGGATGCCAGGTACTTAGCAATAAGTATTTAAAAAGAAAAACCAGCCCTGCAGGAAAACTCCTTTGTGCTCGTGGTCTTTTAGAGCAAGCCTGATTTCTCTATGGTTCCTCCTCTTTGCCTAAATAGAGGATTGGCTGAATATTTACTAAGAATGCCGTGTTAGCAAGTACATGTTTTCCAAACCCATGTTGGTTCTGTAAAAGCACACAACGGTGCTATTTTGTAATAAACAGGGATGATCCGCATATACCTTTTTTGTTTTTAAAATAGAACTTTTATTGTACTTACATGTTAGATATGTTACCCATTGTTTTAAGTGATTTGCAAATATTAATTCATTCAGTCCTCATAATAGCATATAAGCACTGTTACTATCTCCATATTACAGATGAGAAAACTGAAGCACAGAGAGGTCGGGTAACCTGTTCAAGGTCTCACAGCTAGTGAGTTCAGGAGCAAGGATTCAAACTCAGGCAGTCTGGCTCTAGAGCCCAGGAAACCACATATAATAATCACTGTAAACCCATATAACTTTATTAAAGCTTTTTGTTATCACCTGGCCAGGGGCCTAACCATAGTTATTAAAAGTTGCCTGGATTATCAGAATTCCTTGATAGATTATAAACTTCGTCAAAATTAATATCAGGGGCCTGGGGCTAAGGAGGTAGCCAGACTCCTCCCTAAAAATATTACACGTTACCTTTTTCTCTTTTAAAGCGAGTGTTCAGCTCCTTACTCCTTCATGGTTTATTTTACTGTTCGAACAGAAACGCTCTCAAATATGATAATCAAAAGTTAGGTTTAGTCAGATCATGCTTTTCCATTAGATATTCATTTCTAATTGATTGGTAGTTGATAATGATTTATTTTACTGTACCTTTATTTCTTTCAACTCATGTAGTAAGTAATTTGTAAGCAAACATAAAGATGTTATTTGGTACTGTCGTGCAGATGCCACCAAACTTTGCACAGAAAAGAGCTACTTTTGATTTCCCTGTCCTTTGGTTTTAGTATTTCGGTTGGTGTTTAGCAGTTCCTGAGTAGGAGAGTGGCTGCCAGCTCAGCCCTCTCTGCACTGGGCCTCCCTGGGAGCCTGTGGGAGGAGGCAGGAAGCTTAAGGGCATTTTTTCATAAGTATGGAATTTCATACTTGGGATAGGCCTGTAATTAACCAGTCCCTTCATAGCATTTTTAAAAGCTATTTAAATCTGAGTGAACCTTCATGTAAAATAGGGAAAGAGAATAATTTCCTTGAGCAACAGATTAATTGAAACAGAGTATTTAGCTCCATTTCCTTTGTTTTCTAGGAGCAGGCTGCCCTCTGGGGGTAAGCAGTATGCCATCAAGAAGGCTTTTAAATGCATTTTTCATGCATTTTCGCATTAACTACAAGCTTCTATTACATTTTTCTGATTGCATCACCCTGAAATGTGGTGGTATTTACAGGACCACTTTATAATGACTCCATGAAAATGAATGGCAAGATCTGTATACAGACTTGCTTAGCTGTTTATGTCACTCTATGATGCAGTGCTTAGGGAATAGGAGGTTGTTTTCTTAAATTCTTGCTGTTCTAATAAACCCAGTTTTCAGGGAATAAGGGGCTTGACTTTCACTTTGCTTTTTTTTTGAACAGAATATTAGAAGTGGCAAGATGTTCCCAATTAACAGATGTAGGCTTTACCACTCTGGCCAGGGTAAGTATTTTCTCCAGGTTCTGTAGGTTTGGTTTGGAATTTTTTATTTTTCTATTTTTTTTTAATTTCAGAAGAGTGAGCACTGAGGGAAAAGTAGAATGGCGGCAGAATGGAGGGTGTGGGGTGTGAGGGCACTTCTCTGTGGCTGGTGGGCCTGAACATTCTCGTGCTGCAGCTGCAGGTCCATAGAACACAGACTGCTCTGGAAACACAGATGTGCATTGGAGAATATGATGCTCCTTCTTTAGACTTGATTTGCCACGTTTTCACTGATGGTAAACTAGGGAGAGCCTTCCTAGTGCTTCGTGAAAAAAACTTTCTTGGTTGTTCGGTATGTGACTGGTGGGTGAGAGTAACATTGAAAGAAACATATGGGCCTGATTTTAAATGGAGACGGTTTAAGAGATTTTTTTGTGTTCTCCAGAATAAATACTTGGAATGGTTTATAAATCACTGTATAATAGTAGTATTTAAAATTATACTGTCTTTAACTAGTATGTAATGGAATATGGGGAGGAACATTTGCTTTCAAGCAGATTGATGGAAGACTAAAGGGTGGGGGGGGCAGTGCATGGCATAACTCAGTGAGGACACAAAGCTTACCTTCCATTCTTCCAAAGAAATCATTTTCATTAAATTATTTATGTTTGGAATGATCTGTATTATCTTGGTATTAATGTTCAGAAAATTTATTCCCTTGGACTTATGTTAGATACCTCAAACATAGAATAATTGAGAAATTTCCACTGTGATCAAGGCCTTTTAAAATGTGTGATTGGGCTCCTGGGTGGCTCAGTCGGTTAAGTGGCTGCCTTCGGCTCAGGTCATGATCCCAGGGTCCTGGGATCGAGTCCCTCATCAGGCTCCCTGCTCAGTGGAGAGCCTGCTTCTCCCTCTCCCTCTGCCTGCTGCTCCCCCTGCTTGTGTTCCCTCTCTCACTGTTTCTCTCTCTGTGTCAAATAAATAAAATCTTTAAAAATAATAATAATAAAATAAAATGTGTGATTAATGAAGGCAGAAAGTGACATTAGAATGACAAAAGATTTTGTCAGTGTATTTAATACTACTTCTTAGTTTTCTGGCTTTAAATTTTCCCATGTTTTAAATGTTCATGTTACAATGTTTGGTTTTGCATTCTGTAGAATTGCCATGAGCTTGAAAAAATGGACTTGGAAGAGTGTGTTCAGGTAAGAGTGTGGATTTTTACACAGAAATACAGTATCATAGGGGTGCCTGGGGTGGCTCAGTTAGTTGGGCGTCTGACTCTTGGTTTCAGCTGCAGAGTCGTGGGATCAAGCTCAGCGGGGAGTCTGCTTGAGATTTTCTCCCTCGCCCTCCCCCCTTTGCCCCTCCCCCTAAAATAAATAAATCTTAAAAAAAATAAAAGGAATACAGTATGATAGAAACTTACAAAAAAGAAAAAGAAACTTACATAATACATGCATATCAAAACATTCAGTTCCCTGCTCTAATGTCATGTAGTGCCTGGCGGCACTGCTGATTCTTACTTTATTGAGGTGTCTCCAGGCATCCCAGGCAGAAGTGCGTGGTGTACGTGCTAAGGAACTAGGAAAATACATGCCATCAATAAGGTTACCAGTGGAAAGAAAGAAGGCCCAAGCATTCAGGCCATAAAGATGTTAAAATGTTTCCTTAAACCTACAGGGTTATAATACTAGTAAATAATTAAAGCCCCATCACATGGACAATATAGCACCGCCCTTTTTTTTTTTTTTTTTTTTAGTTTAATGAAACCATGGACCCCTTACATCATTAGCCGTGGAGATCCAACTCTGCCTTTTGGGCAGACAGACTGACCAAATACTGCCTTAACAGCAATTTCTTTTATTACCAATTATAAGAGCTTTAAGATTACTAGTTGATCAGAGAGAAATTTTGAAGGGGGACTCGTAAAAAGAAGATAGGTTAATAAATTGTTTTAATGGTAAAAATAAAGATACTTCTAGTGACTGTAGGGGTCAATTTTTTCTAAATTACTTGTTATCCAGACACTCTTTAGCAACTATTCTTACTAAACTAAAACTTGGGGCACCTGGTTGGTTCCGATGGTTGAGCATCTGCCTTTGGTTCAGGTCTTGATCCCGGGATCCTGGGATCAAGTCTCGCATCGGGCTCCCTGCTCCTTGGGGAGCCTGCTTCTCCCTCTGCACCTCTCTCTCTCTGTCATGAATAAATAGATAAAATCTTTAAAAATAATAATAAACTAAAACTGTTCACATCCATCTACCTCTTGCATATGCCTGAGTGTCCTGTGTGTCCTTTCCAATGTTACTCCCTCTCAGTGATGTGCACACACCTTCCCTCCCCAACCTTTCATCCCTCACCATTTCTTAGCCCCTGTGAAGCTATGTATGTTAATAGACATCATCATCATTTCAGAGTTGGAGGAACATTTGAAAAGAAGCACTGATTTACTTTCCAGCCTAAGATAACTATAAAAGACTGTTCTTCCTTCAAGAGTTCCTTCTTTCATGTTCGTAGTTAACCCAGATTCCAGCAGCCCCTTTTCTGCGACCTTCGGGAAAATACCTGACACCCAAGTTATCAAATCAGAGTTGTGGCATGGCTTATAAAATACAGGCCAAATATACTTAAAATTTGAGGGTATTTTCACATTAATTTTTTTTTTCACATTTGAGCAGCGTTTTTCACATGGAGCAGCATCTTCTGATTCTTTTCTGTGGTGGTTCTAAGGAGCTAAAGTCCAGTGGGTAGAAGTCACAAAGGGACAGATTTTCATTCATTTAAAAAGAGAACTTTCAACAGACCTGTTCAAAGATGAAGACTACAGATGACTAGATTGTTCAAAGAACAGGTTCAAGTAGCCAATAGGATTTCAGTCTTAAGATTCTGTTATTTTATGATTAATATGAGGATATCAGTTTAGAATACAAGTGTACTCAAGAATGAGGTACAGCCATGAAGCTTTTTTGGGATTATACCCATAATAAATTTACGTGTTTCTTTCAGATAACAGATAGCACGTTAATCCAACTTTCTATACACTGTCCTCGACTTCAAGTGTTGGTAAGTTTGACTTTTTAAAAGTTTTATGTGTTCATTGGATTTAATCAAAACCCAGCTCTTACTTTCTTCTTGGTGTCTGGCTACCATTTGGGGAAAGCATATTTCTATAAATTGCCAATTTATAGAGGACCAAGGGATTGTGTATCAATACTTGGAGGTTGAAAAGTGACATGGAAAGTATGAGTTCTCCCTCCCACATGAATTACACTTCAGCCTGAATGATGTTTAAATTTCAGAGATCCAGGGCACCTGGGTGGCTCAGTTGGTTAAGCGACTGCCTTCGGCTCAGGTCATGATCCTGGGGTCCCGGGATCGAGTCCCACATCGAGTCCCACATCAGGCTCCCTGCTCAGCGGGGAGTCTGCTTCTCCCCCTGACCCTCCCCCCTCTCATGCTCTCTCTCTCTCTCATTCTCTCTCTCAAATAAATAAAATCTTTAAAAATTAATTAATTAATTAATTAAATTTCAGAGATCCAGGAGACAAGATGGCCCAAAATAAAATTTGCTTCACCTTGAGACTAAATGATCCTGTAAAATAGAACTAATCAAGGCTTTACTAGGGGTGTTCTCTGGTACTATTTCCAGTAACATTGTGGGAAAGCATTCCACTTAACTATTTTGTGTCCAGGCTCATTTTTTTGTGTGTATTTGGTGGTATGTTACTATCCAGAATTGGGACAAGGGGTTCTGAGTTTCACGTGGAGGAACCAGGGATTTATGGAAAATTGATAAAGGGATTTGTGTGAAGATGACCACACCTGACAAGTGTATGAATCATCTTCAGTTAGTTAACTGTTTGGACATTCTCCTGTACCAGGTATTCAGTATTTAGTCCAAATTCCAGAAAGTTTTGTTCAAGAAAAACTTGAGCCCCTCTTGTCCCAGTAGAAAAGTGCTAATTTATATGGGGGGGGGGTGGGTATCATGTTTTGTTCATGAACTAAAAGTCATTGCATGAATTCACAAGGTGTATTTAGAATCACACACAGAAGGACACCTGGGTGGCTCAGTCAGTTAAGCGTCCAACTCTTAATTTTGGCTCAGGTCATGATCTCAGAGTTGTGAGATTGAGCCCTGTGCTGGGCATGGAGCCTGCTTAAGATACTCTCTCTCCCTCTGCCCCTCCTCCCCTCTCCAAAAAAGAATCACACACAGAAACGTCAGTCATTGATAGTCAAAAGCAGAACCCCAGCAACTCTAGTTTGCTCTTCTTCATTTCACCACATGGATCTGGTGATGGCTCCATATACATCACAGTCTAATCCAGAAGATGTCCTCTCTGGCTGTGCACAGGCCAGGGGCTAGAAGAACGCCATGAGATGTCTCAGTGTCCTCCTTGCTCTACTTGGCTGCAGAGTCTGTCTCACTGTGAGCTGATCACAGACGATGGAATTCGTCACCTGGGGAATGGGGCCTGCGCCCATGACCAGCTGGAGGTGATTGAACTGGACAACTGCCCACTAATCACAGATGCTTCCCTGGAGCACTTGAAGAGTTGTCACAGCCTCGAGCGGATAGAACTGTATGACTGCCAGCAGATCACACGAGCTGGGATCAAGAGACTCAGGGTAAAGACGGCTGCACACTCTCCAGCTCTGGTGTTCTCAGCACCTTTCCTTCTTTCTTTTTTTTCCCTCCTCCATTTCCTTTTTGTTTGTTTGTGTTTGTTTTTGTTTTAGATTTAGATTCCTGTGATTTTTATATTTACTTGGACATTCAGCAAAGAGGAAAAAAAATGGAGAGCAAACCTAAGGGTAGTTTTTACCTGTTGTTCCAGATGGAAATTTAGTGGGAAGATACCCACTGAGGGGAAGAAAGTAGGTCTCCTCCCAGCAGAGTCTCTCCTGTAATGTCCAGAGCTTAATAACATGCCCAGAGTCAAAAACACATGCCAGATTCAGGAAAGAAAGAAAGAACATAAAGAAAATGCTTAGTTAAATGGGATTTAAGAATTTAATTTGTATTTCCTTTCACATCAAACCCTTTTGCTGGGGTTCTTTTTTAAGACAACAAATGGATTAAGTAGGGTTTTTTTGTTTTGTTTTGTTTTTACCTTTTAGCCCCATCCTCCATACTAAAGAGACCCATGCGTAGTCAAATGACTGGAAGACAGGTTGCCAGCAAGGAGGTTATAAAAGGATGGATGAATCTGTATGTTAGGTTATTCAGCTCAACAGACATTTATTGGAACATCTGCTTCACACCTGCTGTGGGAAAGGCACTGTGCTTAGTTAGTCCCTTACAACCAGTGTCTAAAAACATCCATGTTGGCCATATGGCATCTGAGTGCATAAAGGAGCACCAAACCTCATCTTGAGTTCCAGTTGGCCTTAGTTCCTCCTCTCCCTTCTGACCTAGAGGATGAGAGCATAACTGCAGTGGGGAAGCCTTGCAGCCCTATTCCTTCTACACCAAAAGAGAGCCACAGGCCAACCAGAGCCTCTTCTGTGGCCTCCATGCAGTAGGGGTCCTAGACCTCCTTGGTTGTCCAGAATGTCTTCCATCTCTGAGTCCTCAAGACTTTTTTCTGTTCTCAAATCATCACTTGACATTTTTTCGTTTTAATTTAGCTATTTATGTCTAGACTGTTAAATTCCCTAAGAGCAGGGTTTCCGTGTTGACCATCTTTGTACCCCCTATGTAACTAGCACAGTGCCTTGAGTGTGGTAGGAATTCGGAAACTATTTATGTACTAAAAACTAGCAGTATGTTTTTAAAAGTGGATAATTAGGTTTTTAAGAAAATATCAGAAGAAACATTGTCCACAGTGACTTGGAAAAAATTATTTTAAGCTTGTATAGTTTCTTTCAACTTTGGGAATCCAACTAGCAATCCCTTTGGGACAGGTTAAGAGATTAGTATGACGTTTTTCCCCAGTTTTATTATTAAAAAGCAGATACCAAAGTTATGTGAGCTATTTAGTCATTTAGAATAACCTGGAATACTGCAAAGCAGAACCCAGGTCTCTCAACATCCTGACCGGTACTCAGCCTCTGCCTTGCTTTCGTGTTCACTCAGCCCCTGTGTTTTTTCTGAAAAGCAATGTTGCTTTTTCTGTTTTAGCCCTCTCTCTTAGTAATGTTTCTGTCTTGTTTCAGACCCATTTGCCCAATATTAAAGTCCACGCCTACTTCGCACCTGTCACTCCACCCCCATCAGTAGGGGGCAGCAGACAGCGATTCTGCAGATGCTGCATCATCCTATGACAATGGAGGTGGTCAACCTTGGTGAACTGAGTATTTAATGACACTTCTAGAGTTACAATGGAGTCTCCAATGGAAGCAACCCCAGTGTTCTGGGCAAGGGTTACAAAGTGAGGGCAGCGTCCAGATCCCCAGAGCCACACATAACATGCAAACCCACCCTCACCTCCACCCACTCTAGTTCTGTGACCAGGGGACTGAAGCCCATGCTGGCTTTATCAAGTGGATTGGTAAAACTTAACCATTCCTGTTGGACATGCCAAGAAGAAAATCATAGGCAAGGTGGAGGGAAGGGGGCATTCCAGCCAACGCAGTGTTGCTGCGCTTGCAGTTTCTTCATTTTTTGAAGGGGTTTCTTTGGTGATTTTGGAACAGCAACTGCAGTCCTCCAGGGTCAAGGAAAGCATAGAAAAACAATATGTGTTGTATCCAGGGACCAGAAAGAAAAATTCTTTGCATCCTATAAATGGTAGCCATCTCTCATGAGATGACTACAGAGCTTCTGTGCTTCCTTGTTCCCATGCCAACATGCTGAGCATGCTCCCAAAGAAGGCTCATCCATTCCTCCCCTGTGTTTAAGTATTTGGCCCAGAGGTTTCCTAAATGGTTGCACTGAAATCGCTGCGGTCCAAATGTGATTTTACTCACTCAAATTGTCACTCTTTCTAGCACGCTTGTGCACCTGTCTTTCGTTCTCTGTTGCTCCCTCCTGCACTCTTGCTCAGTCTGTCACCTGTTCATTGTCTGCTTACTCACACTCAGTTGTTATTCTTTTGCCGTTGTGTTTACAGTGTGCATTTTGGATGATTAGTTGGGGTTACCAAACATTTTTAAAAGAGACATTATCAATAAATATTTTTTTAATTCTAAATTTTACCATTAGGGGACCCTGCCTGAATCTTTGCCAGTCTGAAGGGAAACTATCACAAAACCAAGAAATGGTATGAGAAGAAATTGAGTTAAAACTATTTTGATGAAAACAAACTTTGCCTTTTGGTTTCTGTTATACCTTGTGATATATAATAATACGCATGATATGCCCAATGTTCTCCCTGCACATTTTTCTTCCCATCAGACTCCACTAACTTAATAAGGAGAGAGAAATGCATTATTAGTAAAGAGTGGAATGGCGAATCCCAAAACTGAGCCCAAAAGCACCCCCCACCCAAGCCCAGACATGTCGGATGTTCACTGAAATCTAGGTGTGAGCAGTAGCATCCCTGATTTGTGTCTGTGAGGTTGTTTTGTTTCAATAGGAGCACTGCTAGAGTTGCTGTGCCGTCTAGCTGGTCAGTTTCTCCCCCTCCCCCAAGCCCCCCCGCCCCGTTCCAGCCTATCAGGGATACAAGAATGACCCTAGAACAGGTGGTCAACTGTATGTCAGTGTTGATGGTGTATCTCAAATGTTGGCACCTTGAAGGACCAGAACCATTTCAAAACCTGTCAACCCTATCTTTCTTGTGCTCTGGACTTCCCATGAATGAAATACAGGGGTAACCAGGTGAAGGCTTTGAGAGGAAGCAGGGGGTTCAGTGTCTCTGCCCAGCATGGTCAGCAGAACTGAAGGCAGGTATTCAGTGCCCATGACTCAGAGGCAAAGAAGAGGCTTCCTTCCTTCCCCCCAAAAGTCATAAAGGATGAGGGAACTAAAATGAGTTTCTAAAGTATAAGAAGTAGATTTCTAAACCCCAAAGTTAGAAACCTTATGTGGTTTTTAATAGGACACCTTCTTTTTCCTTTTGGTCTTTTAGGACATTATTGTGCAGTCTGCCATGATCTTAGATCATCTTCTGCATGATCCAGGCTGTTAAAAGCCTTGTAATGCTGCAGGTGCTAGCTCTGCCAGCGTATGTAAGAATAAAGTATGACTTATTTCTCCACAAGCAATTTGATGAAAGGATGCTAGAAATCTGTACCGTCCACCATTATTTTGCATGTTAAATTTATTTTAAATCCTTTTTTATTATGTCCTTTTAAACGCTCAAATTACTTTTATTTTTCATTCCCCCTTCCCCTTATCCTCTTTTCAAACTATCATATGAAGAATATACTTAAAATTTTTTTTTATTTGAGTACAGTTGGCATAAGGATATACCTTTTAAAGTGAGACTCACTCTCCTGGTTATACCCCACATGTACAAATATACACACTTGCACACACACTTCCAGATGTGGTTAATATTCAGATCCCCAGGTCACTCATTCAAACAAAAGTAAAAAGAATATTTAGGGGCCATCTGCTCTAACACATTAAGGTTTTTTTAGTATTGCCTGAACAAATTGACCATAAAACCGTGATTGATTAGTGAGTATGGGTTTAAATTGCCCACCAGTTGAGGCCCTTAAGGTACTTCTTTACTTAAAAAGTACATAAATGTAAAAGACCCTATTCACCAGGGCATGAACATCTTGGAAATGCCGTTTCTCAACTCAAAGAGTGGACCCACGTGCAGGTCCCTGTGGATCTGCTCAGGCGATCCCTGTCTGGGCCAAGAGCACAGTCCAGTGAGAGAAAAAAGGAGTGTGAGCACTGTGCTTGTATGTGGTCAGGCCTTGTTCCTTTTGCAAGAAAACTTCAGGCCCATCAAGCTTGGAAGGAAATAGATTTTTTATGCCAGTCTGCAGCCTACGCCAGCTGATGAAATGTACCGGGAATTTAAGAACCCAGAACATGGTAAGTTTTGGTCAGGTGGAAAGGGCCCCACCATCCTGTCTTAATTATCAGGGATACTTTTGAAAATTCAGTAAGGCTTTAGAGTTTAGGAAAGGCTTCTTGGCCCATTTGTCTGACTCCAGAGCCCCGGCCCTGTACACCTTCTATGATGAAGAAATACAAAGTGAATGGAGAGATTTGGGATAAGTCAGAAGGTACCCTCAGAGCTATTGCCTAGACCTGCTGGTAGCTAGGAGGGGTTATTGCTGTGTCTGTGGAGAACGTTATTAAACATCCAGATCACCTCTTTTCCGAGCAGCCTTTCCCCCTACATTTTCCAGCATCATTTGCTACATCAGTATCTTTTCTGGCCTCTGTACTGGCTCCATCAAGGTGATCCCAGCTTTTTTTTTTTTTTTTTTTGAACTGCTCCCATTTTCTTCCTGTACTCATTCTTGTCTTCTATTTAAAGCCTCCATCTCACTCCCAGTGATGCTGCTGATTTATTTTCAATGACTCCAGTCTAGCTTCCTCTTTGGGTCCTTGTCCTGATCTAAGCAAAGTCTCTGGGCAGCCTTGAATACAGTAACTGTTGTGTGGTTCAGGCCATTTTTCACCGGGTGGTCTTGGACGTTTGCTTACCAAATTTGAAATCACGCTGTTGGATATGTAAGAATATTTCTTAAATGGTTTTTGTAAATTTCCACATCCATTAAGTTGATGTAGCAGACCTGTAAGTCAGAAATTTTACATTTTTTTTACAGCACATATTTTAGAGGGACACCTGGCAAATATTTTTATGATGCTTTATTTTGGGCTTTCCAAACCATTTGAACTGTTCAATACAGCTCTAATGCTACAGCAGTCGGGTTCTTTATTTCTCCTAATTGCCTTGTAAAATGCTTTGTTACCGGTTTGATGGCCCACTCATGCCGTCGGGGGGCGGGGGGGGCGGTAAACAAGGTATGCGGGAACTTGTCCTGGTCTGAAGTTGCAGGGAAGTGTGAGAGTGGCACCGGAAGGAAGACGGGGCTGCCTGCCTGCCTGTGTGGGCAGCATATCTTTAGGGAACTGTGGGTTTGAAGAAGAGGAACGCTTGTGGATCATGGTTGACCCTTGGCCGTTTAATGTTTATTGTGCTGAAAGTCACGGGCTGCTTATGGCAGGTGCTGCCAGTGTGAGAGGAGGGTCTTAAAGGAAATGGGTCTGTTCTGCCTTTCCCTCCTGTGTGCATGGTCTAAGATTAGGTTTCCATCCCCATTGTACATCCTGGCTGAGGGACTCTTTCAGTGGTATTCTTTGAGCTTCTGGAACTTTTTTTTTTTTTTTTTAAGATTGTCCACCAGTTCTAGGATCTTTCACCACCTCAAACCCAGGCAGTGTGAATGAGCTGAGACTTGTTTGAGATGAGGGGGAGGATGTTTGGTTGGAGGCCTTGAGGCAAACCCTCCCCTTTACAATGATCTTGGACCGAAGAACCCTAAAGCAGTAGGAGGGTGAGGGGAAATATGGAGTCTAAGCTTCCCGTCACCTTTATTTCTATCATAAACTTTAACTGTAATATTGGAAGATACAGAAAACTATATAAGACCATGTCAGTTGGCTATAATTAACCCAGGTAATTTGGGAATAACATTTGGCTGTATTTGCTATATCCAGGTGCCCTAACTGAACAGCTTGGTTCTCCAGCAAAGAACATGCTGCTCTAAGCTTGCCCTCTCACTTGAGACAAACTCTATTTGCCAGAAACTACCATTTGAGGCAAGTGCTTTTTCTGCATGAAGGGCTTCTGCCACTCCCCCTCGCAAGGCAAGTCTGTCTCTTTGTCCATTTTTATTCTTAGGAACATCAGATCTGCATCTCTGAAGGCTTTGACCCTTAGGAAAGTCCGTAAGAACCTCTCAGCTGAGTCTGAGTGAATCTTTGGAGCCCAACAGAATTACACTTAATTTTCAGCAGGAAAAAAAAATGTCTTGAGCAAGCTCACGTGGGATATTAAGAGAAATTCCATAATGTGCTTCTTCCATCTCTGCCTCATGCATTTTTTGAGTAAGCCCCCGGTGGAGTCTGGTTCGCAGGTGTTGAGTGTCTGTGCTTCCTCAGCCAAGGTGTCTCACTGCCGTTTTAGGAAAAAGAAACGAGCAACCAGAAGTGTGTCAATGGACTCTTATTTTCTGTGTTTTTCAGTGTCTTGTTTTGAAGAATTGGGGTGGGGAAATGGTAATGAGGTTGAAAGTAAAGGAGAGAATCGGCTCTGGAAATGGGGCACTTTGCTTCAGGTACAAGCATCTGTCCCGAATATGTAGAAACACCTGCCTCACGCATGTGAGTAGATTTGCTTTCCTCTGCATCCTGTGAACTCCCATGCCCTTCTCACTGGCACGGAGGGCTTCTGCCTACCACGCACCCGACCAGTCGCCCAGATGGGGATTGGCACCCCCCAAAGAATCCCCAGTGCTTCTGGGTGTGGCTCCCCCCACCCAGGGCAGGAGCAGGTAGGCAGTGAATGAGAATCCTCACCCCAAGAAGAGATGGGAGAAGAGAGGTGTCCAGACACATACCTTTTCTCTTCGGCCACACCCCAAGAACCCAGGGAAATCTTTGAAGTGATGTCTTATTTATTGAAGTGGAAGAAGAAATCTTTGCCCCACGAAGTTCCGCTTGTCACCGTTGCTTACTGCTTATTTTCACTAATTCAGATCTCTGTCTCACTGCTGCTCACACACATGTGTTTCTTACCTTAGCCTAACCCTTCTCAGCCCCTGAAGTCATTATTTCTGTGTCGTTTTTCTTTCTTTCTTCCTTTTTTTTTTTCTTATGGCACTAGTGAACGACAACCGAAAGTCTTAGAAAATCCTAACTTGAAAAAGGAGTCTCTAACTGGCATGGTTTGATTAATTACTTTACCCCCCCCACACCCCCAAAGACTTGAATGATTTTCTTTCCTAGTGCTATATAATAGACCTGTAAAAAGTGAAACCTTTGCTGCTGCTTTTCTGGGTTTACATGTTTTTTCCTGCCCTTAAGAATCTTACCTGTGCTTCTCTGATGACTGTTACTTTCTAATAAGTGCAGGAAGGAGGTGAGCCTGAGATTTCTTCTCTTACTCCCCTCCTCACCCTACCCCCAAACTCCATGCTAACCTCTAACACACACAAGCTCCATGGGGCGGGGCTCCGCAGGAGCTGCGTGGGGGTCTTTTCTAAAACCCCCTGCCGCGGCTCTGCAGCCGGCCCCTGAGGATCTGTGACTTCCCAGTCCGAAGGCTTGGAAGGGTTACGGCTGGGTGGTCGGTCCGGGGGAGAAAGTCCTCTTCTGCATTTTGCCTTCCTCCATTCTTGTTTAATGACTCAGCCTTCAGCTGCCTCCCACCCTGGCTGCCTCCTTTTTCCTACCAGGAATTGCTTCCAGGTAACCTGCCGCAGGCGGTTCCCGGCTGCTCTCCTCAGCCTTGCCCACCGTCCCGTGACCCTGAGAGCACAGATCTGTGTGGAGCTCAGCTGGGAGGACCACCCCTGCCTGTCAGACTGCCGGAGGATGGAGATGGTGGGCAAATGGTGCTGCGGGAGAAATTTTTACCTTCAAACCAGGCTGTTCCATCCCTGCACTAACCCCCTCGGACCCCTCTCCCCCTGAGGGGACAGAAGGCAGAGGATGGTTGACTGGCAGGGTCTGATCCCAAACCTTGCTGTGGCCTCAGCCTCCTGCAGCCATTCGGCCTGCCCCGGAGTGCTTCAGCGTGCGGGAGCTGCTGCTTGCTTGTTTCTCCACCAGGCCTGCCCCACCCCGCGCTCAGCCGCTCCCTGGGCTGACATGGTCCCCGACTCGGTGACTGAACACCAGGCTCCATTAGCTGTCCAAATGACTACTTCCACCCAATACTTTTGGCGCTTGAGGATGGAGGGAGGGAGGGTTATTTAAAATAAAATCCAAGGTGGCAGTAGAGGATTCCTTTTGCTTTAAAATCTTTGGACTAAAAGAAAAATGTTTTTTATATATAAATATATAAAGTAAATTGTTATGTAACTATTACTGTTTCCTGTATGTTCTAATTTTGTTTTATGATGTAATTAAAGGAAATAAGCTGTGAAGACTTCTCATTTTGCCGGGGAAATAGCCTGACTCGGAGCTGTGATTCTTAACTTCCTTGAACCCTAGAAGTGCAAAGGCTCCCGTGGCTGAATGAAGGGCCTTCTTTTTGGCATCCTGTATTTGTTTAATATTCTTTTATTAATACCCTTTATTTATTAATAGGCTTAATACCTTTTTAAGAGCCTTTATTTAATACCCTGAACTCCACCTGTCTCTGAGAAAAACAGAAGACGTAATATAAATCAGAGTTTCTAAAAAACCTTTGTTTTAATTCATTTGACAGCAGCAGTTCAACCTGAGTCCCCTATCTGTGCAGAGCATTGCCCTCACCTTGACTAGGAAGGAATGATGATGGAGTAGTATAATAGTTAAAACAAGCTCCAAGCTGGAGTGCCTGACTTCCACCCGAATGACCTCAGCCAGCTGACCCTTCCATCTCCGTTCTTCATTGGTAGAGCGGGGATAACAGTACCCTCTTTAGAGTGTGAAGATTAAAAAGATGATAATGACACATGGTAGATACTTGTTACCTGCTTTTATTCCCTTCGTGTCAACAAATATTTTAGGATCTAGTCTGTGCTAGAGGCTCCTAGGTTGAGAGATACACAAAGGTTAATGCAATGGGGTCCCTGTCCTTTTGGTGGAAATGAGCAGTGGAGCCAAGTCAGCAAGCTGAATTTCAATCTCAAGTTATCTACCCTGCTGTGAAACACCCCTGGGGAGCCCTGTGGAATTATAGGCCCCCTCAGTGATAACTGAGGTAAATTGATCAATAAGGAATTAAGCAGATATTTTTAAGAGGGCACGTTGGCCTGTCTTCCACTCCATGCATATGGGTTTTCTCTTTTCAGTGTTTGAAATTTCCTAAAGATTTATTTTATTTTATTTATTTTTTTTAGAGAGAGCAGGGAGAGAGAGAATCTCCAGCTGACTCCTGACTGAGTGCTGAGTGCAGAGCGCCAACATGGGGCTCAATCTCACAACCCTGAAATCATGACCCGAGTTAAAATCAAGAGTTGGAGCCTCATTCAGTTAGTTGAGCGTCGTTTGAGCATCAGACTCTTGGTTTCGGCTCAGGTCGTGATTTCAGGGACATGAGATGGAGCCCTGAGCTGGGGTCAGCGAGGAGTGTGCTTAGGACTCTCTCCCTGCCCCCTGCCCCCACTCTCACGCATGTGCACACACACACTCTCTCAAATCTTTTTTAAAAATGAGCAGAATAAGATACAGCTCATTATTTTTTTTTTTTAAGATTTTTATTTATTTATTTGACAGAGAGAGACATAGCAAGAGACAGAACACAAGCAGGGGGAGTGGGAGAGGGAGAAGCAGGCTTCCCGCTGAGCAGGGAGCCCAAT